TTCACGTGAAATTTACGTCGAAGAGGAAGTATGTTACTGTAACCCGCGTTCAACCCAATAATTACGCAAATGTTACACAACAAATGAACCAAAATAATAATAATCATCCCGTTTCTGAACATCGTGTCTTGGATCTTCCATAATTACGTCCAGGCGCGCTGGTAGCAGTTTGGGGTTAGAGGGGGTTGGGGGAGGGGGGTGGGTGCAAACATCCCAGAAGAGAAAGCTAGTTGCAACTGGTCCAGTTGATGAACCATTTAATGCCAACTGGTAATCCTGGAAATTGAAATGGACTAAATGATCCAGTTGATCCAGGCCAGTTATACTTCAACTGGTCTAGCTGAGCCATTAGAACCATTTGGTTAACTTCCAACCAGTTGAACAGCAACAATACTTCAATACTGGTACGTCTGTATTTCCAATGTAAAGGCATTGGTAATAAGTAGACTTACATAATTTAATTAATCGAAAAAAATTCGTATACTTGTACTTTATTGAAATTATTTTAGTTCATAGTTAATGTTTCCCTTATTCATGTTTAACTAAATGTAATTTATACGAATTAGCGAAATGTCCTAATAACTGGTAATTTATATTTGTAGTATTTTCGAAATGAATTGCATATAACTAAATCATCAGTAATTAAGAAATATGCTGTAAATTCAGATAAATTGTTTAAAAAACATAGATCTGCACGCACCCCATTTTCAATATGCAAATTAACTGGTGTCAGCTGGTTCAACTCGAAATATGCCAACACTCAGTCATCAACCGGTGCAACTGGAAATATGCACACTCCAGTTATCAACTGGTGCAATGAAAATATGCCAACAGTCAGTTATCAACTGGTGAACATAGAAATATGCCAACAGTCACGGTATTATCACCACGGAACTTAAATGGTAACTGTGAAACCATCAAGACACCCAAGAATAACTCATTTTCACACCTGGAAAAAACGGAATACCCAGCTTATATAAATAATCCGTTTGAGTCACGAGATCATCACCGCGGAACTGCTGGCAACGTTGACTAACATTTAAATAGGTGTTTTAAGACACCTAATCATGACTAATTATTCACACCTAAAAGTCACGTATGCCCAGCTTAGATTAATATTCGGTTTAAGTCACGAGATGATCACCGCGGAACTGCTGGCAACTTTGACTACCATTTAAATAGTTGTTTTAAGACACCTAATAATTATAATTTTTCACACCTAAAAGTCACGTATGCCCAGCTTAGATTAATAATCCGTTTGACTCACGGGATCTTCACCGCGGAACTTATGGCAACTTTGACTACCATTTAAATAGGTGCTTTAAGACACCTAATCATTACTAATTTTTCACACCTAAAAGTCACGTATGCCCAGCTTAGATTAATATTCCATTTGAGTCACAAGATTATCACCGAGGAACTGCTAGCAACTTTGACTACCATTTAAATAGGTGTTTTAAGACACCTAATAATTACTAATTTTTCACACCTACATATCACGGATTCACAGCTTAGATTAGTAATCAGCTTGAGCCACGTGATCATAACCAAGAAATTAATGGTAACTTTGAAACCATTTAAAGAGGTGTGTAAGACACCTCCGAATTACTAATTTGATATAACCAGAGATTCACGGACAGAACAATAAGACGATTAGCCGGTGTAAGTAACGTGATTATTACCATCAACCTTGGATAACCTGTGAAACCAATCGATAAAGGTGCTTACAAGACCAAATAATTACGTATTTATCGCCACCATCGGTTAACGGACAAAAAACTCGTTGCTTGGTCAAGTGGTTATTTGGTCATAAACACTTTATTTACAGAGGTAAAGTGGAATCACGTTACTCCAGTCGCGTGATAAACTGGTGGTTTTTACGTTAGATGAAAACGTTAACAGGAATACCTTTTTTGTTTAAATGAAGGCACGTGTCGATAACGTTTAAATCTAGTTCAAAAGGCACTATACTTTAAAATCACTTAAAATACACTCCTAAAAGAGGTTACTTTTTAGTGTTCTGTTTATTGGGCAGCTGAACACATTTGACAGTTTGAAGATTAATGAAGGTAAGAATGTTTCTATGTGGCATGTGAAAATGAGTGACTTGTAATGCTAAGCTTCTCTTACATGTAAGATCGAAATGAAGAGAAACAGAATCTGGATAATGATAATCTTCATTATTTCATTGTGCATGTTGCGGTGGTGGCGCTAGGCAAAATGACATGAACATGTCATGTGACAAGCCCATTCACTTCAGATCCTCTTTCGATCATTTGACGAAAAAGCACCTATCTAAAATATTAAACAAGAAAGCCTAATTTGAACAATCAGAATAAAACTCCGATTTCTCTCTTAAACGTCAGGTACGAGAAAGAGCTTCATACAGCCCGTGATCTGGGGGTGAAGAAAGGAGTGACAACTGGGGTAGGAATGGGTGTCACCATGCTCATCCTCTACGGTTCCTACGGCTTAGCATTCTGGTAAGGATTTATTAAAATGACTTTATTTTTTGTTGTTGCATATTTACAATATTACAATCTATTGGCGGAAGAAGGGTATTTGGTAAAATATCCAATATCCGCCCATTTTTATAATCCCTTAATCGATGATCAATATGTTTTAATGTAGAACTAGTAATGTCCAGTTTCTATTTTCTCATTACAATGAGGGATTCGTGATTTAGAAATAAATAAGTAAACCTGTTACTACGAGTTTGTATAGTGTTATTTAAAAGAGAAGCCAACCCTAGTATACAGTTGGTCTTAGTAAAAGCAGAAAATGAGAGGAAAGTTTGAGCAAAATCCGATGAAAAATAATAAAGTTATGAATGTTCAAAGTTGTCATCTGTGAAACACGAATTGGCAATACTGTGACGTATCTTGTGAGGTCTTCCCCAATTAGTTCTGTGCAGCTATTTCATTTTCTTAGTTATTGATGACGAAATGGATTCGTTTCATTCATGAGTTGTATAGGAACATCTTTGCAATAATTATATTTAGTATGCATGTATGATTGAACAAATTCTTTAGGGAAAATAGACATTTCTGATATTTTTTAGTACAGAGCAAAACGGGAGGGAACCTCGCAAGATACGTCGAACAGTGTTGCCAATTCGTGTTTCACAGATGACAACTTAGAAAATTTTGCTCCAACTTTTACTGAACTGTTGGTCTCAATTTTTGCTTCTATTAAAACCACCCTAATATCAGGCTGGACTTCCCCTTTACTAAAGAGAACACGTTGACCAAAACCACGTATAGGCTAACCTGGTGCCATGGATCTGACATTCTATATTTTTGATGATTGTCACCATTGTGACGGCTCCCGTTGATGCATTGTGTTGCACCCATGATAACTCAATGAAAATCTCATCATTACAGTATACTATAATTTTATATATGCGATATGAAAATTACATAGAAACCTCCTCGCTGTCCATGTATTAGGTGACAGGTGGCATTCTCAATATTCTCGAGATCAGCCTTTCCCCTTCTCCAGCCCGTCATGAAGGTGAACGTGGCTATAAAGTTGTGTATATAGATTGAAGACGAAACAAACAACTAGATAATAATTATATAAAGCAGTGTAGTCTTTGAATCCCGTCTAAACACCTTCTCAAATCATAGTTTTTAGAGGGTGGCCTATTTGTAATCAAGCTCATCTGAATATGCAAACTTGACTAGACAAGACCATTTCATCACAGGATAATAATACTTCTAAGCATTTGACCTCTTCCACCTACCCACAGGAGTCTTAAAACAATACTAAATCTTGCTTACAATTCATTTTGGAGTATTGATCAAGGAAAATCATGTGTTTGCTTTCGTAATGCGAGTTCATAAATAAATTTTAACAATTCGGTGAATCAATTTACGACAAATTGGGCACTTCGCATCATCTCTTGATTGCAGAATCAGAGAGCAATTATAACATGTGTTTGCATGTCCACAAGGCAGCAGGGCAGTGTCCCTATCACAATCTAGACAAATACTGCAAGAAGTATCTATTTCCTCTCTTTCCAGCTTGGCTTGGGCATCCTCAAGAGCTCTTTGTTTAGCAGTAAGTGCAGCTTCGGTCGTACCAAGTTTTGTTTCTGTTGCTGTGAGTTTCCTCTTTGTTTGCAGTGTTTCAGTCTTCTTTTCGGAAATTTCGTCTCGAAGTTTTTTCATTGAAATTTGAGTCTCAACGTCGAGTCTCTTCTGTGTCGCATTTATTTTAGCAATTCTATCGTAGAGTTCTGCGTTCTCCCGCGCCAGTTGATTTTTTGCATCTTTTGACTTGACAGATTCGGTCCGCAATTTTTCCAGATATTTCTGGGTTTTTGAGAGTTTCCTGTTTGTTTTCAGTGTTTCAGTCTTCTTTTCGGAAATTTCGACTCGAAGTTTGTTGAAGGATATTTGGGTCTCTTGGCGGAGTTTCTCCCGCTTCGCAGTGATTGTAGCGATTTTTTCGCAGAGTTCTGCGTTCTCCTGCACCAGTCGACTCTCTGCATCTTTCGACTTGACCAATGCGGCCCGCAATTCCTGCAGATTCTTTTGGGTTTCTGTGAGTTTCCCATTTTTTCTCAGTATTTCAGTCTTCTTTTCGGAATGTTCCCTTTGGGTCTTAAGCTTCAGTTCGGAGATTTCTTCTTGTGTATTACTATTATTGACTAAGGCATTATTTTCACAGACTCTCGCATTCAACCGAAAGAGTTTCAGTTTAGTCTCCAGGTGGCTACAATATTCGATTCGTGACATACATGTAACTACCAAACCTCGAATAAAAACTTCTGCAGAGTATAATCGCTTTTGGAGGAAAATTGACCAAACAAACCCAACCGCGTAAACCATATTGAGGCTCCAGGATGAATTAGGAAACATGTACTGCGTTATTACCATCATTGCGTATATAGACACAGAACCTAGCAAGGATGTAGCCATATTCATTTTATTTGTATGCGTTCTATCCAGCCAAATTAAAGCTGATCTGAGGCATATCTCGAATTTTGCAAAGCGTTTCTTAGACTCTTCCTATGTCTTTCATTGGATGATGCCAAAGATGCCTCACTATGAAATAACGGATTTAGTCATTCGGTGATGATACTACTAGGAGTTGTATTTCAGATGTTTCACTTAGATAATGGAATATTTTCGAGGCATCTGGACCAGGTTCTTGGTAATAGCGAAGCATAATAGTTATACACACTGACTTCCCTTTTCCATTATGTTGTTCTCCTTTACATCAGGCGAGTTTCTCTCTAGTCTTAAAGATGCCATCCATTGACGTTGGCATGGTGACAGCAGGAATAAAAGTACTTGTTCGTTATCCAGCATGCAGCATGGCACACCATTCTATAGTATTAATGACTGCTTTGAGAGAAATAGTTGTTTTTATACGCTCAAGGGAAGGTTAGAATTGTGCTATTACCCGAGGCGTGCCGAGGGGAATAGCCCAATTGTAACCTTCCCGAGAGCGTATAAAAAACAACTATTTCTCGAATATTAAAGCAGTCATTAATACTTTTATATGCCGAAAAAAAAAAAAAAAAAAAAAAAAAATTATCGAAGATGGGATTCGAACTCTTGCGTACCAAAGGTGATGTCACCATGTACAGTAGTTTTCTTTAATATATACATTAAAATGAATTGAAAACGGCTTCGCGTGGTCGATGCTTCGCCGCTGCTCCATTAAACGGGCCCTTCTTTTACTTTTGCAATGCATATTGGCACGAACTTAGATCAAGATCTATCGGCAGATGTTGTTTTTTTGTTTTTGGAAGTTTATTTTCGTCTTCATGTCAACAATGCAAGATAAAATTGTCGGTAAGATCGATCGAGATTCAATTGTATTGAAATTACCGACCAATTCTTCGCACACGTACGGTATCCTCGATCGCTCAGACCATTTTTTAACATGTAAACCTATGGGGTAACCATGGAGACTGACCTATTTTCCCAATAACCATGGTTATTGGGATTTTGAACTGTTTTTTAACCATGGTTACCGGGAATTTTCGGGAACAGTTAAAGTTTATGAATGCAATTTCGACCAATCAGATTGCTGGATTACTTAAGTGAGGTATATAATAGATTATATAAAACAAAGGATTAAAAATCAAATGTTGGCCTTTGCATCACTCAATATTAACCTATTTTTCGACAGCTATCTTCTTTGCCCACCTTGGTTCTATGTGGCCCATGCAGGATCATAACCCCCCCCCCCCCCCCAATAAAAAAAGAGCAATGATTTATTCATTAGGGATACAATTATCCATGTCTATCGGTGGCTCGGTGGTAGAGCACTAGAGCAGTCTTATAACCGGGACGTCCCGGGTTCGTAACCAAATATGGGTGCTAGTGCTCTTTTGGTATAAGTCAATAATCCTTATCGCCGAAACCCTATAAGAAGCTTGAGTTCTGGGAAGAGGTGAAAAATAATTCATGAGCGTTATCATTGTATTATGCCAGTGTGGAAGAAAATCAGATAAAAAATGTTCCCTGAAAAGCATGGCCCTTCAAATGCCTTAATATTCTAAATATGGCATGAATCGGAACGGATTTTTATGCCACATGTTCGTGTAGTTCCATATTCATCTTCAGTGCTTGTAACTTTTCCAAGACTGGGCCCAATTTCTTATCATTTTGATGATTCCAGAACCTTGCAGTACACACCAATACAATATGCTAGATGATCGCGTCAACTTTATCTTAAAACCCGTAGCGTTCCCTGGTCGCTTATACTTACAAGCAAACACGGCTTTTCTTAGCAGTCCGGTAAAACAATCCATCACTATCAAACCAAGTGAAACCAAACCATGCTTGTATGAAACATAACCGTCTATTCTGAAGCAATTATGATGTACTGCGCACAATAACTGTACACGTCACCCCATTTCAGTTAGGCCTTTGAAACTCTCTGATTTGGGGAATCCCCGTGTGTCCATCGCTTTCACAAAAGAATTCCAAAAAAGCAATATCCAGACAGGACTTCTGGGGTATAACATTCACACACTAATCGATTCACGCTGATAGATAATACCTAAGCTCACCATGTAGATCAAACTCTAATGTTATGCTCTAAAATATACTGCAGCTGCAGCCATGTAGATCATGAAGGCCAATGTCAGTGTATGGTGAAAAGCAAAACTATTGTGATTAATTCTAAAGTCTGGCTTGAGGAGAAAATATATATTGTTTGATCTTAGAAGTTATATGATGATATACTACTCGCTTGTGCTCTTCTTTTCTCCTTCCCATTTTGCTCTTACCCTTATTTTATTATTTTAATATCTTGACAACAAAAAATTACAAGAAAATAATCGTACAAAATGAATAATGTTTTACGTACTTTGTATTTGTTCTGCACGTCTTTTCAGCAAAGGAAATCCACCTTCGAAGTACGAGATTGCGAACAATATATTTTGCTATAGTTGTATTCTGTGCCTCGATACTTTGCCAAAATGATTTGAAAACGCATGAAATCCTCAAATCTCGGGTTTTTTTTTCGAATTACAGCGAAACCTATTTGATGTTGCTGTTTGAAACCGATTCAACACAGGTCAAAGGGTCTTTTTTTTTTCTTCTTTAAAAAAAAATAACATTATACGCTTACATGTCCTTCGTTCTTGTCGACTTGATATAATAGAAAATAGGCCATTCTCTTCATTACCATGGTGACAATTTCCTCTCTCTCTCTCTCTCTTTCTCTCTTTCTCTTTCTCTCTCTGTCGCGAACACTTACAGACAAACTTTTCCTCCTTAATAAGAGTGTGAAATAATTCAATATCAAAGCAATAATAATAATTTTTCAAAATACTATACTTTTTCATTATAATAACATAACTGAAATAATCCAATACATGTACTATTCATAAATTACGTTCGAAGATAGAAAATGGAAAGAAATCAGTAATAATATAAAAACAAATGATATCTCCCTCCCTTACTACCCAATCCACTATTCGCTGCAAATACACACACCTTCTCACAATATACACTCACAAACCCATATACACAAAGATCACTTGAATACATATTCATTTGAATTTCACCTTAAAGTAATAGTTCAGTTCTGTTGCAGAGGGCGCTACAGACATTTTTTTTTTGGTGAGATAAGGAATAAAAATAAGTGTCAAATTAAAAAAAAAACATTCAATTTATATGACAAAATCATCAGGTTCAAAGACGGTTTAAATATCCATAACTATAACGATTTCTAATACTTGTGTACCACCACAAGTATTAGATAATTTGAAAAAGCCGTTGAAAAAAAACGAAATAGCGCCTTTTACGTCGTACTTAAGTCAATGTCGATGTTAGCTTTTTTTGTTGGCATTTTCGTGTTGGTTATATTACGCACAACGAGCCGGCCCATATACTGTTATTTTTTATTAAATAATTGATTAACGGTCACCATATTTTTTTTAAAGTGGAGCTGAATTGGAATGATCGTATTGACTAAATTTCACACATTTGGGGTCTAAAATTACCTTCATAGCAATTAAAACACGGAAACACTATTACTCTTCATGAAAGTACATTGTATAGATACTTTATATATTAAGCTATGACAATTACATACAGACTACCTCGGTGTCCAAGAATTAGGTGACTGATGGCATTTTCAATATTCTCGAGATCAATCCTCTCCCCCCCCCCCCCCCCGCTCAAGCCCGTATGAATATCATACTGGCATTATGATTAAAGATGAAACAAAAATTAGATAGTAGTATGAGGCAGTGTCTTCTTGGAATTCCTTCTAAACTCCTCGATTCATAGTTTTTAGAGGAAGGCCTATTTGTAATCACGCTCATCTGAATATACAGTCTTGACAAGACGATACCATTACATCACAGGATATAAGTATCATACTTCTATTAAAGTAATTGACCGATCCCACTAACCCATAGAGTCTGAAAACAATTTCAAAGCATGCTTACAACTCATTTCGGGTACTGATCAAGGAAAATCATGTATTGGCTTTCCTTATGCGAGTTCATATATAAATTTTAAGAATTCGTTCAATCAATTGACGACAATATGGGCACTTCGCATTGTCTTTTCTGTAGAATTTCAGAGAGCAAGTGTAACATGTGCTTGTGTGTCCGCAAGGCACCATAGCAGCGTTCTTATCGGAATCTAGACAAATAATACAAGGAGTATCTATTTCCTGTCTTTCCAGCTTGGCGTGGGCATCGTCAAGAGCTTTTTGTTTGGCAGTAAGTGCAGCTTCGGTCCTAGCGAGTTTATCGTTGAGTTCGACATTCATATGCGCCAGTCGGCTCTCTGCATCTTTCAACTTGACCAATTCGGTTCGTAACTTTTCCAGATCCTTCTGGGTTTCTGAGAGTGTCCTATTTATATTCGTTATTTGAGTCTCTTTTTCGGAAAGTTTGCCTCGAAGTTTGCTGAAGGATATTTGGGTCTTAACGTTGAGTCTCTTCTGCCTCGCAGTGATTCTAGCGATTCTATCGTAGGTTTCCGAGTTTATCTGCGCCAGTCGACTCTCTGCATCTTTTGATTTGTTCGATTCGGTTCGTAACTTCACCAGTTCCTTCTGGGTTTCTGAGAGTGTCCTATTTATATTTGTTATTTTAGTCTCTTTTTCGGAAAGTTCGACTCGAAGTCTGCTGAAGGATATTTGGGTCTTAACGTTGAGTCTCTTCTGCCTCGCAGTGATTCTAGCGATTCTATCGGAGGTTTCCGAGTTCACCTGCGCCAGTCGACTCTCTGCATCTTTCGATTTGTTCAATTCGGTCCGTAACTTCTCTAGTTCCTTCAGGGTTTCTGTAAAGTATAGTCGCTTTACGAGGAAAAATGACCCAACAAACTCAACCAAGAAAATCAAATAGCTGCTCCAGGATGGATCAGAATACATATACTGCAATACTATCATAACCACTGCGTATCTAGACACATTGAATATCGAGGGTGCATCCATTCTTGTTTTTTTTCTTCTGCATTCTATCCAGTCAGATTAAAGCTGATCTGAGGTGTATCTCGAATGTTGCAAATGGTTTCCTAGACTCTGCTGGTGCCTTTCATTGCATGATACCCAATATGCCTCACCATATAATCACGGAGATAGTCTTCGGTGATGATAATTCTAGAAGTTGTCATTCAGACGTTTTACTTGGGAAATGGAATATTTGTGCAGCATCTGACCCAGGTTCTCGGTATTAGAGGAGCCTAATAGTTTACACGATGATTTTGGTTTTCCATTGGAGAGCAAAAATGTTTTTCTCTTTACGTCAGACGTTTTCCTCTGTATTCATAAAGATACCATCATTTTTAAGGTGCCATGATGACAGCAGGGTTAGAAACGATTGTCGGTTATCCAGCATCCAGCAGATAACACCATTCTAGATTCCAAAAAAAAAAAAAAAAAAAAAAAACGGATTACAAATCAAATGTTGTCATTGGTATCACTCAATTTAATCCTATTTTTCGACAACCATCTTCTTTGTTCACCTTGGTTCTATGTGGCCCATGCAGGATCATGACAACTAAAAACAATAAATGAGTAATGGTCTATTCGTACGGGATAATTCATAGGTATTTAATAAGGAATATGAATTATAATCATCTTGACATACTGTTACAGGTCATTCTGTAATCTTTAGAAATGTTATTTCATAAGAAACGAAATGTTCATCTTTTGGAATCGTATTTACAAATCTTTATAACCGTAATTGTTTAGTCAACTTGATGGAATCTTCATATCACTTCAACATTCAAGAATAGCGCTTATACAGCTCAATTATGATAATGTAAAGATAAGTCTTTGTTATTTTTAATGTCACGTTCCACTTTATATTAAACTTCTTCAGCACCCTGAAATGATCTGTAAAACTCGGTACGATTGCTTAATGGTAGAGCAGTCTTGTAACCGGGAAGTCCCGGGTTTGTAACAAAATATGGGTGCTAGTGCTCTTTGGTAAGTCAACAATCCCCATCTCCGAAACGCTTTGAGATAACTTAAAGTTGTAGAGTTCCCTGGTCGCTTATACTTACAAGCAAACACGGCTTTCCTTAGCAGTCCGGTAAAACAATCCATCACCATCAAACCAAATTAAACCAAACCATGCTAGTATGAAGCAAAACAGTCTATTCTGAAGCAATTATGATGTACTGCACACAATTATTGTACACGTCATCCCATTTCAGTTACGCCTATGAAGCTCTCCGATTTGGGGAATCCCACTCAATGATGCCGTCGCTTTCACACAAACAATTCGAAACCATCAATAGCCACACAGGAATTGCAGGGTATACTATTCACACTCCGATACACACCCACTGATACACAATATCATTGTTACTTACTTAGTTTACCATGTATAAAGATCAAACTCGAAGTTTATGCTCAAAAATAAACTGCAGCTGCGGCCATGTGGATCATGAAGGCCAATGAAACTGCATAGTGAAAAGCGAATGTATTGTGATCAATTGTAAAGTCTGGCTTGAAGAGAAAATATATATTGTTTGATCTTAGAAATTATATGAAGATATACTACTCGCTTTTGCTGTTCTTTTCTCCTTCCCATTGTGCTGTTGCCCTTGTTATATTATTTTAATATCTTGACAGCAATAAACAACAAGACAAAAATCGTACAAAATGGATAATGTTTCACATATTTGATATTTGTTCTGCACGCCTTTTCAACAAAGGAAATCTACTTTCGAAGTAGCGAACGGATTCGTGGACGATATATTCTGCTATTATAATAGTCGAATCCTAGCCTCGATACTTTGCCAAAAATGATTTGAGAATGCATGAAAGTGTCAGCTTTTAGGTTTTTCCGCATTACAGCGAAACCTTTTTGATGCTGGTGCTTGAAAATGATTCAACACAGGACAAAGGGTCTTTTCTTTTCTTTTTTCTTTTTAAAATAACATTATACGCTTACGCGTCTTTCGTTCTTGTCGACTTGATATAATAGAAAAAGGCCATTCTATTCATTACCATGGTGACAATTTACATAGATCTCTTTCCCTCTCTCTCTCTCTCTCTCTCTCTCTTTCTCTCTTTCTCTCTCTCTCTCTCTCTCTCTCTCTCGATCTGTCACACACACTTACAGACAAACTTTTCCTCTGTAATTCAGATTGTGCAATAATTCAATATCAAAGCAATTATAATCATTTTTCAAAATACTATACTGTTTCATTATAATAACATAACTGAAATAATCCAATACATGTACTATTCATGAATTACGTTCGAAGATATAAAATGGAAAGAAATCAGTAATAATATAAAAGCAAATTATATCTCCTCCCTTACTTCCCAATCCTCTATTCGCTACACATACACACACCCTCTCACACAATACACTCACAAACCCATATGCATAATGATCGCTTGAACACATATTCATTTAAATTTCACTTTAACATATTTCTTTTGAGGTCGCCATCCTGGTCAAGCGTCGCTTACGAGAGCGTTCTCTAGCACTTCTCCACAGGTAGTTAGGATAATTCTTTTAATTCGTAATACTATACTTTAGAAGGTAAAGTTCGTTTTTATTTGTATATGTGAATCATATTTTGACATGAAGTTATTATTGTTTGCATATTTATATCATACCTTATGTTTATATGTTTTTTTTAAATTCAGTTATTGTATTTGGAAAAAAGTCGAAAGAAAAGCAAATCAAATCAAAATCCCAAACAGCGCCACTACCATTAACAACTCTCTCATCCTCACACATACACACACACACACACGAGTGTACAAACCACAATAACATAAACTCACACGCAAGAACACCATCACACACCACAACAGCCCCCCCCCCTCCCCCCACACACACACACCCACAAGAAAACACCATTAAACTCGGCATGAAATTATATATACTTTATATAAGATATGACAAATACATAGAGACCACCTCGCTGTCCAACTATTAGGTGACTGACGGCATTTTCAATATTCTCGAGATTACCCCCCCCCCCTCCTCCGCTCCAGCCCGTATGAATATCACACTGGCGTTATGAAGGTGCAGGCGGCTATATTAGCTTGTGTATATAGATTGAAGACGAAACAAGATATAGATAGTAGTATGAGGCAGTGTCTTCTTGAAATACCTTCTAAACACCTCGATTCATAGTTTTGAGAGGGTGGTCTATTTGTAATCACGCTCATCTGAATATGCAGTCTTGACAAGACAATACCTTTTACATCACAGGATATAAGTATTATACTTCTATTAAAGTAATTGACCAATCCAACTAACCCATAGAGTCTGAAAGCAATTTCAAAGCATGCTTACAACTCATTTCGGGTACTGATCAAGGAAAATCATTTATTAGCTTTCCTTATGCGAGTTCATCAATAAACTTTAAGAATTCGTTCAATCAATTGACGACAAACTGGACACTTCGCATTGTCTTTTCTGTAGAATTTCAGAGAGCAATTGTAACATGTGCTTGTGTGTCCGCAAGGCACCAGAGCAGAGTTCTTATCGGAATCTGAACAAATAATGCAAGGAGTATCTGTTTCCCGTCTTTTCAGCTTGGCTTGGGCATCCTCAAGAGCTCTTTGTTTAGCAATAAGTGCAGCTTCGGTCGTGCTAAGTTTTGTTTCCGTTGCTGTGAGTTTCCTGTTTGCTTTTAGTGTTTCAGTATTCTTTTCGGAAATTTTGTCTCGAAGTTTGTTCATTGACATTTGAGTCTCAGTGTCATGTCTCTCCTGCGTTGCATTTAATTCAGCAATAATACCGTAGAGTTCTTGGTTCTCCTGCGTCAGTTGACTCTTTGCATCTTCTGACTTGACAAATTCTGTCCACAATTTTTCCAGATCGTTCTGGGTTTTTGAGACTTTCCTGTTTGTTATCCGTATTTCAGTCTCCTTCTCGAAGTTCTCAAATATCAATTTAGAGTTTTCATGTTTTGTTCTATTGACTAAAGCATTACTTTGACAGAGACTCGCATCCGACAATTGGAGTTTCTGTTTAGTCTGTTGATGTCTATTCACAATTTCATGCTTTTCTGTTGAAAGTAATCTCTGCTCTTCGACGAGCTCGTTTTTAGTTTCTCTAAGTTCAACTTCTGTAAAGTAAAGACGCTTTATGAGGAAAGCAGACCAAACAAACTCAAACAAGAAAAACAATTTTCCGCTCCAGGTCGGATAAGAAAACATACTGCAATGGTACCATAATCAGTGCATAGCTATACACATTATGTATCGAGATTGTATCCATATTTGTTATATCTTTCTGCACTCTATCTAGTCAAAATAAGGCTGATCTATCTTGGACTTGGCAAATGGTTTCCTAGACTATTTTGATGTCTTTCATCGGATGATGCCAAAAATGCCTTACTGTGAAACCATTGAGTTATTCTCCGGTGGTGATAATTCTAGGAGTTGTAATAGACGTGTTACTTGGGGAAAAAGTGAAATATTTTGCATCATCCGGACAAGTTTCTTGGTATTAGCAAAGCAATATGCTAGTTATACAGAATGAATTCCTTTTCCATTAGAGAGCTAGGATGTGTTTCTCCTTGACGTCACAAGGGTTTCTCTCTCTCGGGTATTCAGCATCCAGCATGTCACACCATTCTAGATTCAAGAAAGAAAAACATAGGATTACAAATTAAATTTTGTCCGTTGCATCACTTAATATAAAACTCTCTTTTTTCGACAGCTATCTTCTTTGTCCACATTGGTTTTATGTGGCCCAGGTAGGATCACGAACAATAAAAAACAATAAACGAGCAGAGGTCTATTCCTTAGGAATATTATCATCAAGGCTGGTATCTAATAGAAGATATGCAGTTACAATTCTTTCAACATACCGTTACAAGTCATTCCGTAATCTTGAGGATTTTAAATCACATGAAAAATGAGATGTTCATTTTTAGAATCGTATTTACAAGTCTTCATAACCAACACTGTCAATCAACTCGAAACTTCCTCTCAAACATTTTCATCAAATAGCTCAAATATGAGTAAACATAAGTATTGTTACTTGTTTATCACATTCCACGTTTTATTAAAATTCGTCAGTACCCTGAAAACGACCATCAAAACTAGACACGATGGCTCACTGGTAGAGTAGTTTTGTAACCGGGTGCCCCGGGTTCGTAAACGAATCTATGCGCTAGTGCCTATCAGTTTGGTATTAATCCTCATTACCAAAACCATCGTAGAGGACTTAAAGGTTAAATTCATAGACAATCACAAATATGTCAACTAAGGTATCACTAGAAACTGGTAAGCTAACAGATGGCCATCGTACAAGTTTTAGGTCAACTACATATCGGGTGATTTATACAAATACAAAACAACCACCTCCATAGCAGCTGGGATGTACGAGAGATTCGCCCGTAAAATAACTATGTTTTAATGACGTCACTATATGGACCAACACTGCCCAAGAAGACGACATCCCATAAAGAATGAACATAATTGAAAAGCTATTATTTGTCAAATTATAATGAGTTTAGTGTATATAAATGTAATGGCATGTCAAACCATTCAAAAGGGGTTATGACCCGATTCTGATAACTAATTTTTTTTGCTTGTAAATACACAGGATAGGGGTTAATTACCAATCAAAGAAAACAGACTTTCAAATTGAAAACCCCCCAGAATGATATTAAGGACGGCATTTGCTCCCTCTTGAAACGCCGGACATACCGCGGTGTGTGCAGCTGAATATACAATGGCGTCTTATTTTGTTTACAAGCGACAGATTCCTTTATTTTTGTATCGCTGCATTTTTCATCAAAATAAAGCCATGCGCGGGGTTTAGAGTGAGGCAATAGATCTTACATTTAGCCTGACGGTAGTGAAGTAAGAGAAAGAACTCAAGAGAAGATGAAAACACAGGCACTGAAAATGTGTGAGATGTCATGGGACATCGTCTGCTTGTGCAAATCATGTCCATACTGTGATCTCATAGTTTCAACTTTGCAATAATGCAAATAAAGTAAGTTTTTAAAATCAATGAATATCTACTTTAAGGCCCCTGGTTACTAATACTTACAAGCAAACACGTGTTTTCTCAGCAGTCCGGTAAAACAAACCATCGACATCAACCAAAATTAAACTACGCAAGTCTAGTATGAAGCACAAAAGTCTTTTCTAATGCAATGATAATGTTTATCACACAACTGTTGTACACGTCATCACAAATCACTTACGCCTATGAAGCTCTCTGATTTGGGGAATCCCACTCAATGATGCCGTCCCTTTCACACAAACAATTCGAAACAATCAATAGCCACACAGGAATTGCAGGGTATATTATTCACACTCCGATACACACCCACTGATCGACAATATCATTGTCACTTACTTAGTTTACCATGTATAAAGATCAAACTCGAATTGTATGCTCTAAAATAACTAATGCTGCGGCCATGTAGATCATGAAGGCCAATGAAACTGCATGGTGAAAAGCGAATGTATTGTGATCAATTGTAAAGGCTGGCTTGAAGAGAAAATATATATTGTTTGATCTTAGAAGTTATATGATGATATACTACTCGCTTTTGCTATTCTTTTCTCCTTCCTATTGTGCTCTTGTCCTTGTTTTATTATTTTAATATCTTGACAGCAATAAACAACGAGACAAATATCGTACAAAATGAATAATGTTTCACATACTTTGATATTTCTTCTGCACGTCTTTTCAACAAAGGAAATCCACTTTTGAAGTAGCGAACGCGATCGTGGACGATATATTCTGCTAAAGTCATATTCTGTGCCTCGATACTTTGCCAAAATGATTCGAAAATGCATAAGATCGTCAACTCTTGGTTTTTTGTCTCGAATTGCAGCGAAACCTATTTGATGTTGGTGCTTGAAAATGATTCAACACAGGAAAAAGGGTCTTTTCTTTTCTTTGTTCTATTTAAAATAACGCTTACGTGTCCTTCGTTCTTGTCGACTTGATATGATAGAAAATAGGCCATTCTCTTCATTACCATGGTGACAATTTATATAGATCTCCTTCCATCTCTCTCTCTCTTTTTTCTCTTTCTCTCTCTCTCTCTCTGTCACACACACTTACAGACAAACTTTTCCTCCGTAATTTAGATTGTGAAATAATTCAATTTCAAAGCAATTATAATAATTTTTCAAAATACTGTACTTTTTCATTATAATAACATAACTGAAATAATCCAATACATGTACTATTCATCAATTACGTTCGAAGATAGAAAATGGAAAGAAATCAGTAATAATATAAAAACAAATTATATCTCCCTCCCTTACTACCCAATCCACTATTCGCTACAAATACACACACCTTCTCACAATATACATTGACAAACCCCATATACACAAAGATCACTTGAATACATATTCATTTGAATTTCACCTTAAAGTAATAGTTCAGTTCTGTTGCAGAGGGCGCTAAAGACATTTTTTTTTTTGGTGAGATAATGAAAAAATGAGTGTCAAATTTAAAAAAAAACATTCAATTTATATGACAAAATCATCAGGTTCAGAGACGGCTTAAATATCCATAAATATAACGATTTCTAATACTTGTGTACCACCACAAATATTAGATAATTTGAAAAAGCCGTTGAAAAAAAACGAAATTGCGCCTTTTACGTCGTACTTAAGTCAATGTCGATGTTGGCTTTTTTGTTGGCATTTTCGTGTTGGTTATATTACGCACAACGAGCCGGCCCATATACTGTTATTTTTTATTAAATAATTGATTAACGGTCACCGTATTTTTTTTAAAGTGGAGCTGAATTGGAATGATCGTATTGACTAAATTTCACAAATTTGGGGTCTAAAATTACCTTCATAGCAATTAAAACACGGAAACACTATTACTCTTCATGAAAGTACATTGTATAGATACTTTATATATTAAGCTATGACAATACATACAGACTACCTCGGTGTCCAAGAATTAGGTGACTGATGGCATTTTCAATATTCTCGAGATCAATCCTCTCCCCCCCCCCCCCCCCTCCCGCTCAAGCCCGTATGAATATCATACTGGCATTATGAAGGTGAATGCGGCTATATTAGCTTGTGTATGTAGATTAAAGATGAAACAAAAATTAGATAGTAGTATGAGGCAGTGTCTTCTTGGAATACTTTCTTAATACCTCGACTTATTGTTTTCTAGAGGTAGGCCTATCTGTAATCATGCTCATTTGAATATGCAGTCTTGACAAGACAAAACCTTTACATCACAGGATATAAGTATTATACTTCTATTAAAGTAATTGACCGATCCCACTAACCCATAGAGTCTGAAAACAATTTCAAAGCATGCTTACAACTCATTTCGGGTACTGATCAAGGAAAATCATGTATTGGCTTTCCTTATGCGAGTTCATATATAAATTTTAAGAATTCGTTCAATCAATTGACGACAATATGGGCACTTCGCATTGTCTTTTCTGTAGAATTTCAGAGAGCAAGTGTAACATGTGCTTGTGTGTCCGCAAGGCACCATAGCAGCGTTCTTATCGGAATCTAGACAAATAATACAAGGAGTATCTATTTCCTGTCTTTCCAGCTTGGCGTGGGCATCGTCAAGAGCTTTTTGTTTGGCAGTAAGTGCAGCTTCGGTCCTAGCGAGTTTATCGTTGAGTTCGACATTCATATGCGCCAGTCGGCTCTCTGCATCTTTCAACTTGACCAATTCGGTTCGTAACTTTTCCAGATCCTTCTGGGTTTCTGAGAGTGTCCTAATTATATTCGTTATTTGAGTCTCTTTTTCGGAAAGTTTGCCTCGAAGTTTGCTGAAGGATATTTGGGTCTTAACGTTGAGTCTCTTCTGCCTCGCAGTGATTCTAGCGATTCTATCGTAGGTTTCCGAGTTTATCTGCGCCAGTCGACTCTCTGCATCTTTTGATTTGTTCAATTCGGTTCGTAACTTCACCAGTTCCTTCTGGGTTTCTGAGAGTGTCCTATTTATATTTGTTATTTTAGTCTCTTTTTCGGAAAGTTCGACTCGAAGTCTGCTGAAGGATATTTGGGTCTTAACGTTGAGTCTCTTCTGCCTCGCAGTGATTCTAGCGATTCTATCGGAGGTTTCCGAGTTCACCTGCGCCAGTCGACTCTCTGCATCTTTCGACTTGTTCAATTCGGTCCGTAACTTCTCTAGTTCCTTTAGGGTTTCTGTAAAGTATAGTCGCTTTACGAGGAAAAATGACCCAACAAACTCAACCAAGAAAATCAAATAGCTGCTCCAGGATGGATCAGAATACATATACTGCAATACTATCATAACCACTGCGTATCTAGACACATTGAATATCGAGGGTGCATCCATTCTTGTTTTTTTTCTTCTGCATTCTATCCAGTCAGATTAAAGCTGATCTGAGGTGTATCTCGAATGTTGCAAATGGTTTCCTAGACTCTGCTGGTGCCTTTCATTGCATGATACCCAATATGCCTCACCATATAATCACGGAGATAGTCTTCGGTGATGATAATTCTAGAAGTTGTCATTCAGACGTTTTACTTGGGAAATGGAATATTTGTGCAGCATCTGACCCAGGTTCTCGGTATTAGAGGAGCCTAATAGTTTACACGATGATTTTGGTTTTCCAATGGAGAGCAAAAATGTTTTTCTCTTTACGTCAGACGTTTTCCTCTGTATTCATAAAGATACCATCATTTTTAAGGTGCCATGATGACAGCAGGGTTAGAAACGATTGTCGGTTATCCAGCATCCAGCAGATAACACCATTCTAGATTCCAAAAAAACCCAAAAAAAACAACGGATTACAAATCAAATGTTGTCATTGGTATCACTCAATTTAATCCTATTTTTCGACAACCATCTTCTTTGTTCACCTTGGTTCTATGTGGCCCATGCAGGATCATGACAACTAAAAACAATAAATGAGTAATGGTCTATTCGTACGGGATAATTCATTTGATAAGGAATATGAATTATAGTCATCTTGACATACTGTTACAGGTCAATCCGTAATCTTTAGAAATGCTATTTCATAGAAAACGAAATGTTCATCTTTTGGAATCGTATTTACAAGTCTTTATAACCGTAATTGTTTAGTCAACTTGATGGGATCTTCATATCACTTCAACATTCAAGAATAGCGCTTATACAGCTCAATTATGATAATGTAAAGATAAGTCTTTGTTATTTTTAATATCACGTTCCACTGTATATTAAACTTCTTCAGCACCCTGAAATGACCAGTAAAACTCGGTACGATTGCTCAATGGTAGAGCAGTCTTGTAACCAGGAAGTCCTGGGTTTGTAACCAAATATGGGTGCTAGTGCTCTTTGGTAAGTCAATAATCCCCATCTCCGAAATGCTTTGAGATAACTTAAAGTTGTAGCGTTCCCTGGTCGCTTATACTTACAAGCAAACACGGCTTTCCTTAGCAGTCCGGTAATACAAACCATCGCCATCAAACCAAATTAAACCAAACCATGCTAGTATGAAGCAAAACAGTCTATTCTGAAGCAATTATGATGTACTGCACACAATTATTGTACACGTCATCCCATTTCAGTTAGACCTTTGAAACTCTCCGATTTGGGGAATCCCTGTGTGTCCACTGCTTGCACAAAAAGAATTCCAAACAATCAATAGCCACACAGGAATTACAGGGTATACTATTCACACACCGATACACACCCACTGATACACAATATCATTTTCACTTACTTAGTTTACGATGTATAAAGATCAAACTCGAATTTTATCCTCTAAAATAAACTGCAGCTGCGGCCATGTGGATCATGAAGGCCAATGAAACTGCATGGTGAAAAGCGAATGTATTGTGATCAATTGTAAAGTCTGGCTTGAAGAGAAAATATATATTGTTTGATCTTAGAAATTATATGAAGATATACTACTCGCTTTTGCTGTTCTTTTCTCCTTCCCATTGTGCTGTTGCCCTCGTTATATTATTTTAATATCTTGACAGCAATAAACAACAAGACAAAAATCGTACAAAATGGATAATGTTTCACATATTTGATATTTGTTCTGCACGCCTTTTCAACAAAGGAAATCTACTTTCGAAGTAGCGAACGGATTCGTGGACGATATATTCTGCTATTATAATAGTCGAATCCTAGCCTCGATACTTTGCCAAAAATGATTTGAGAATGCATGAAAGTGTCAGCTTTTAGGTTTTTCCGAATTACAGCGAAACCTTTTTGATGCTGGTGCTTGAAAATGATTCAACACAGGACAAAGGGTCTTTTCTTTTCTTTTTTCTATTTAAAATAACATTATACGCTTACGTGTCTTTCGTTCTTGTCGACTTGATATAATAGAAAAAGGCCATTATCTTCATTACCATGGTGACAATTTACATAGATCTCTTTCCCTCTCTTCTCTCTCTTTCTCTCTTTCTCTCTCTCTCTCTCTCTCTGTCACACACACTTACAGACAAACTTTTCCTCTGTAATTTAGATTGTGAAATAATTCAATATCAAAGCAATTATAATAATTTTTCAAAATACTATAATGTTTCATTTAACATAACTGAAATAATCAAATACATGTACTATTCATAAATTACGTTCGAAGATAGAAAATGGAAAGAAATCAGTAATAATATAAAACCAAATTATATCTCTCTCTCCCTTACTACCCAATCCACTGTTCGCTACAAATACACAAACCCTCTCACACAATACACTCACAAACCCATATACATAATTATCGCTTGAACACATGTTCATTTAAATTTCACCTTAAGATTTTTTTTGGAGGTCGCCATCCTGGTCAAGCATCACTTACGATGGCGTCCTCTCGCACCTTTTAACAGATAGTTAGGATAATTCTTTTAATTCGTAATAGTATACTTTAGAAAGTAAAGTTCGTTGTTATATGTATATGTGAATCATATTTTGACATGAACTTATTATTGTTTGCATATTTATATCATACCTTATGTTTACATGTTTTTTTAAATTCAGTTATTGTATTTGGAAAAATGCAGAAAGAAAAGAAAAGAAAATCAAACAAAATCCCAAACAACGCCACTATCATCCGTAACTTACTTACCCTCACACGTACTCATGAACACTCACACTAGTGTACACACCACAATAACATAAACTCACACGCAAGAACACCATCGCACACTTTTTTTAACGATCGGACACCCCAACAGCCCCCCCCCCCCACACACACACACACACAAGAAAGCACCATTAACTCGTCATGAAATTACATATACTTTATTAATATAAGATATGACAAATACATAGAGACCACCTCGCTTTCCAAGTATTAGGTGACTGACGGTATTTTCAATATTCTCGAGATCAGCCCCCCCCCCCCCCCCCCTCCTCCGCTCCAGCCCGTATGAATCTCATACTGGCGTTATGAAGGTGCAGGCGGCTATATTAGCTTGTGTATATAGATTGAAGACGAAACAAAAATCAAATAGTAGTACGAGGCAGTGTCTTCTTGGAATACCTTCTAAACACTTTGATTTATAGTTTTGAGAGGAAGGCCTATTTGTAATCACGCTCATTTGAATATGCAGTATTGACAAGACAAGACCATTACATCACAGGATATAACAATACTTCTAAATAATTGACCTATAACCCACTAACCAATACAGTGTTAAAAAATTAATACCAAATCATGCTTACAACTCATTTCGAGTATTGATCAAGCAAACTCGTGTACATGTATAAGCTTTCTTTATACGAGTTCATAAATAAATTTGAAGAATTTGGTCAATCAATGTTCGACAAACTGGGCACTTCGGTTTGCCTCTTCTGTAGAGTGTCAGAGAGCAAATGTAACATGTGCTTGTGTGTCCACATGGCACCAGAGCAGTGTCCCTATCGGAATCTAGACAAATACTGCAAATATTATCCGTTTCCTCTCTTTCAAGCTTGGCTTGGGCATCGTCAAGAGATCTTTGTTTGGCAGTAAGTGCAGCTTCGGTCCTACCAAGTTTTGTTTCCATTGCTGAGAGTTTTGCTGCAGTCTCGACGTCGATTCCCTTCTGCGTCACAGTGGTTCTAGCGATTCTAACGTGGAGTTCTGAGATCATCTTGGCCAGTTGGCTCTCTGCATCTTTCGACTTGACCCATTCGGTCCGCAATATCTCTGCTTCGTTCTGGGTTTCGGAGAGTGTCCTGTTTATATTCGTTATTTCAGTCTCTTTTTCGAAAAGTTTGACTCGAAGTTTGTTAAAGGATAGTTGGGTCTTAACGTCGAGTCTCTTCTGCGTCGCAGTGATTATAGCGATTCTATCGTAGGTTTCCGAGTTCATCTGCGCCAGTCGACTCTTTGCATCTTTCGACTTGTTCAATTCGGTCCGTAATTTCTCGAATTCTTTCTCGGTTTCTGAGATTTTCCTGTTTGTTTTTACTATTTCAGTCTCCTTTTCGGAAAGTTCCCTTTGGATTTTGATCTTCAGTTCAGAGATTTCTTCTTGTTTTATATTGACTAAAGCATTATTTTCACAGAGTCTCGCCTCCGACTGAGAGAGTTTCAGTTTAGTTTGCCGATGACTATCACATTCGTTTCGTAACCTACCTTTTAAATCTCGAATAATGTTTATATGTTCTCTAAGTTCAACTTCTGTAAAGTATAGTCGTTTTACGAGGAAAAATGACCAAACAAACTCAACTAAGAAAAATAAATTGCCGCTCCAGGATGGATAGGAAAACATATGCTGCAATATGACCATAACCATTGCGTATATAGACACCTCACATATCGAGGGTGTAGCCATATTTGTTTTATGTTTTTGCATTCTATCCAGTCAGATTAACGCTGATCTAAGGCATATCTTATTTTTTTGTATTTCATTGAATGAAACCACGGAGCTAGTCTTCGATGATGATAATTGTAGGAGTTGTCATTTAGACGTTTTACTTGGGAAATGTCATATATGTGCAGCATGTGGACCAGGTTCTTGGTATTAGCGAAGCCTAATAGTTATACACAATTTTTTTCCTTCCATTTGTAGAGCTAAAATGTTTTCCTCCTTACGTCAGACGTGTTCCTCTTTAGTCGTAAAGATGCCATCCTTTTTAAGTTGCCATGATGAAAGCAGGGTTAGAAGTGCTTTTCGGATATCCAGCATCCAGCTTGTCACACCATTCTAGATTCCAGAAAGAAAACAATCCATGATTAGAATTTATTTTTTCCTTTGCATCTCTCAATTTAAACTTTTTTTTCGACAGCTTTCTTTGGTTCTTTGTTGCTCATGCAGGATCACGATAAATAAGAACAATAAATGTGCAATGGTCTTTTCATTAGGGATACTATTATCAAGGCTGTTAATGCACTGGTATTGAATAGGGGATGTACATTTATAATTATTTCAACATACTCTTACAGGTCATTCTGTCATCTTCAGAAATGTATTCACGTGAAAAATATAATGTACATCTTTTAGAATCGTATTTACAAGACTTTATAACGGTGTTTGTTTAGTCAACTTGCTAGAATCTTCATTTTCCTTCAACATATTTATCAAAAATAATGCTTGTACAGCTCAAATATGAGAATGTGTAGATAGATATTTGTTATTTTGTAAATAACATTACAGGGTATATTAAACTTCTTCAGTACCCTACTTATTGATAGTAACACTGGGCACGATGGCTCGGTGGTAGAACAGTTTTTTGACCGGGAGGTCCCGGGTTCGTAACCAAATCTGAGTGCTAGTGCCCAAAGGTTCGACATTAATCCTTGACTTACCAAAATAATCGGAGAGGACTTAAAGACGTAAAGTTCCCAAGTTTCTACTTATAAGCAAACACGTGTTTTTTAGCAGTCCCGTAAAACAAACCATCACAATCAAACCAAACCGAACTTGTATAAAGCATAACAGTCCATTTTAATTAGGCTATTATAATATACTGCACACATGTGTTGTACACGTCATCCCATTTCACTTCGTGAGTCCATCGCTTTCATAAAAAGAATTCGAAACAATCAATATCCAAACAGGAATTGCAGGGTATAATTTTCAAACACACCGATACACAACTTCTGATAGATAGTACCATTGTCACGTATTTAGTTTACCATGTGTATCAAACTCGAATGTTATTCTCTAAAAAATACTGCAGCTGCAGCCATGTAGATCATGAAGGCCACTGTCACTGTATGGTGAAAAGCGAATCTATTATGATTACTTTCATAGTCTGGCTTGAAGATATATATATATATATATATATATATATATATTGTATAGATCTGGAAGTTATATGATGTCATACTACTTGCTCTGGCTGTTCTTTTCTCCTTCCCATTGTGCGCTTGCCCTCGTATTATTATTTCTATATCTTGACAACTAAAAACAACAAGAAGAAAATCGTAGATAAATAAAATATGTTTCACAGGCCTAGATGTCTGTTCAACAAAGGAAATCAACTTTCGAAGTAGCGAACGAGATCGTGGACTCGTGGTCGATATATTATGCCAAAGATGTATTCTCTGCCTCAATACCTTGCCATAATGATTTGAAAATATTCAAAAGCGTCAACGTTTTATTTTTCCGAATAACAGCCTGTTTCATGTTGGTGCTTGAAAATGATTCAATACAGGTCAAAGGTTGTTTTCTTTCCCTTTTTCCTTAAAACTACTTTTTGCGCGTGAGTGTCCTTCGTTCTTGTCGACTAAATACAATAGCAAAAACTTGTTCTCTCGATGGACATGATGACTGTTTACATAGATCTCTCTCGATCTCTTTGTCTCTCTCTTTCTCTCTTACACACACCAACACACACACACACGCACACTCTCTCTCTCTACATATATTTGTATCTGTGTCTCTCAGTCTCGTTTTTCTCTCTCCCTCTCCATCTTTCTATCTCTCTCTCTCTCACACACACACACTCACACACACCCACACCCACCCAGACACACTTTTGCCCGTAGTTTTTGTTTTATATAATTAAGTATCAAAATAATACAGCTAATATTCTAAAATAGAAATCTTTTTCATCATGATAACATAACTAAAATAACTTTTAAAATATACACTGTTGCTCATAACGGTGGAATATTTTTTTTTTATCCCAATTTATGGAATTATTTTAAAAATAATTTAAAAATACTAGATCTAGATAATAGTATACAGTCTCAGATTTTATTAAATAATAATTTGCCAATATGTGTTTTGCGTGACTGCTAAAGCATGTATATTATGCTACTATGTTTATCAACTAGGGGACCTATGCCCTTAAGTCATAAATGACAGTAATGAGGATTAATGCCTCACAAAAGGGCACTAATGTAGCACATCGACACGGTGTTGATCCTGGGGCCTCACAGTTACGAGGCCATTGCTTTGTCACTAAACCATGACTGTACGCAGCGGGGGCTAGGGTAGGGGGCAGTTTCCATAAATTAAAAAAACACAGAAAATGCAATAAATATTCCAATGATTTATTGCATTTTACCCCGGTCCCCAACATAAAAAAATACTCTGGACGGCCATGCATTATGGCTCAAGGCATGGGCACACAGAAGATTTTGTTATGTTGGGGACCGGGGTAGAATGCAATAAATTATTGAAAATTTATTGCATTTTCTGTGTTTTTTTTAATTTATGGAAACTGCCCCCTACCCTAGCCCCCGCTGCGTACAGTCATGGTTCAGTGACAAAGCAATGGCCTCGTAACTGTGAGGCCCCAGGATCAACACCGTGTCGATGTGCTATATTAGTGCCCTTTTGTGAGGCATTAATCCTCATTACTGTCATGTATGACTTAAGGGCATAGGTCCCCTGGTTGATAAACATAGTAGCATAATATACATGCTTTAGCAGTCACGCAAAACACATATTGGCAAATTATTATTCAATAAAATCTGAGACTGTATACTATTATCTAGATCTAGTATTTTTAAATTATTTTTAAAATAATTCCATAAATTGGGATAAAAAAAAATATTCCACCGTTATGAGCAACAGTGTACAATTCATAAATTACGATCGAGAAAAAAATTCGAAAGAAACCAGTACTAATATAAAAAAAAAAAAATGAATAACTTCCTCCCTTACTACCCAATCCACCATTCGCTAGGCGCACACACACCTTCGCACACAATACACTCACACACAAAGATTGTATAAACACATTTTCATTTAAATTTAAAAGGCCGCCATCCTAGCGTCGCTTACGATGGCGTTTTCCTGTACTTTTCCACAAATACTTTATAGGATAATTCTTAAAATTTGTAATTATAGAAATATTAAGTTCCATGTCATATGTATATATGAAACATATTTTGACTTAACGTTAGTATTGTGTGCATATCTATATTATACCTTACATTTAAATGTTCTTTGCTATTCAGTTATTGTTTTTGGAAAAATGATTAAAACAAAAGAAAATCAAATTAAATCAAAGTCCCAAACAACGCCACTGTCATGCGTCCGCACCTCAATCCTCCTCACACGTACACATGCACACTCAAATACATGTACACATTGGTCACAATAAAATAAACTCTAACGCAAAAACACCCTCACACCCCCTCCCCCCCCCCCCACACACAAAAAAAAACACTCACACGAAAACACCATTAACTCATCAAAGTATATTTTTATTTAATATATGATAATTACATAGAGACCACCTCGCTGTCCAAGTATTAGGTGACTCATGGCATTTTCAATATTCTCAAGATCACCCCCCCCCCCTCTCCAGCCCGTATGAATGTCATACTGGCGTTTGTAAGTGAAGGAGGCTATAATTAAGCTTGTGTATAATTATAAAATGAAGACGAAAGAAAACTAGATAATAGTATGAGGTAGTGTAGTCTTCGAATACCTCCTAAACACTTTCACAACTGAATACCAAAGCAAGACCACAATTTATTTCGAGTACTGATAAAGGAAAACATTGTATTAGCCTTCCTTATGAGGGCTCATAAATACATTTTTACAATTTGGTCAACCGATTGACGACAAAGTGGGTACTCCGCATTGGCACTTGAGTGCAGTCTATGAGAGCAACTGTTACATGTCCGCAAGGCAGAAAAGCAGTGTCCCTATTTGAAACTAGACAAATGCTGCAAGGATTAACTGTGTCCCGTTCTTTCAGCTTGGCTTGGGCATCCTCAAGAGCTCTTTGTTTGACAGAAAGCGCAGCTTCGGTCCTACCGAGTTTTATTTCCGTTGCTGAGAGTTTTGCAATCTCAACATTGAGACTTATCTGCGCCAACCGACTATCTGCATCTTTCGCATTGATCAATACGGTCTGCAATATTTCCAGTTCTTTCAGGGTTTCTGAGAATTTCCTGTTTATA